ACACTACAAAGAGCTTTCGCGCTGCATCCGCAACGCTGTTTCTGCAGTCCAGGCTTATGTCGGGGTTAAGTGAACATCCATTAAAAGATGTAGCCAATTGACACTCGACAAGGAGATTATTACCTCCATCAGTTCGTTTTTTTGGCGCCGAAGAGAGAAAGAAAGAGAGATAGAGAGAGGGGGCAAGAGACAGGGGGAGAAGAGAGAGAGGGAGGGAGAGTCACTGACACATAATAATCTATATCACACACGCACTCCCTCTCGCACACACATACACACACAGATGACTCCAGGCCATAAACTGAAAGGTCAAACGGCGGATATTATACACGTCTTAAAAAAAAAAGATTAAAAGAAAAAAAAGTGAGAACAGAAAAGGCGTTAATCATCTCCCTCTCACTTCATGACAGGTCGTCCTGAGTGCCCCCGCGTGGTGCCCGAGAGAGGTCCAGGAGCTGATGACGGCCTGTTGGCACCCACTGCCCGCCCACAGACCTTCCTTCAACACCATTTACACCACGCTGGCCGCCTACGCCCATGCTCACAAGTGAAGACCGCGGGGAGGGCGGGAAAGTGGTTTTCCCGCCTAAAACAAGATGGCGCCGCAGAAGGAGACATTTTCCCGCCAAAATAAAATGGCGCCGCGAGGGGGGGGTGCAAGGTCCCCCCCCCCCTTCTGAGTGAAATGAGGAAATTGCAAGTGATGAGTTATTTACGGCGTCGGAGTGGCGGTGATGTGAAAAAAATAGGTGAATTGAAGGAAAACTTGACATACGGTGAAAAATTATACTTCGTGTGAGATGTATTTTATGATATTGTCGTTATCCCATTCTGTATGTTTAATCCTAACGATTTATGTTTTCGTGAATAAGCGTGACAAACAAGCGAGAGAGAGAGAGAGAGAGAGAGAGAGAGAGAGAGAGAGAGAGAGAGAGAGATGACCTTTTAATGCTTCGATAAGCATGCAAATAGTCAACTGGGATATTACATTTCTTTGTTAAAGTCAGATTTTTTTATTTCATGAATTCCCTAAGCTCTTCATTTGCTATGAGAGCAAAAGACTCTATTCATAGTGAGTGATATGTAAATGTTTCTGACAGACACACAAAGAAAAAAAATGACCGTAGATGTGGAATTAGTTTACGCCATACCCTATTTATAGAAAGTGAACGGACGACTTGGTTACCGAAGCCGAAGCCAGCGGACAGACATGACAAACGGACGCGTCCTTCGCTAGGAAGAGCGCGTATTGTCTGTCCAATTTCCAGGGACACCGTCACAGGGCACTGCTTGTCTCTTGTGCACAATGAAAGCATATCAGAAACGGGCGGAAGAAACCCGTTCAACATATCATTTCCCCGGAGAAGTCACATGAGCGTAGAGAGAGAGAGAGAGAGAGAGAGAAAGAAAGAGAGATTTAAACCCCGAAGAATTTTTCATTTTGTCGCGAGCGGTTCCGATTCCGGTCCGCTTTGACTTCGTAGTTCTTTGTCGGTATGAAATCAATATTAATAACGTCTTATCATTAGTACTTTTATTATGTACCTGGATGGTAGTTTGTAAGAGGAAATCGGAGGGTGGCGAGAAATCGGCGCTGACTTTGCCCTTTTCTTGAGACTACTTATTTTAACTTGGCTGATGAGTGCTAAAGTTAGCAGATTCAAGGTTGTATATAATTTGTTTCAGTTCTGATTACTGATGCTATAGGTTGAATCGCAACATAGATGATATGATATAAGGAACAAGAAAAAAAAGTAAATACAGATCGCTATAACCTGCTATAAATAAAATCGTTAATAATTGATGATTAAGATCGCTAGAAAAGATTGTTAAATTTAGCATCATCAGCTAAGGCAAGCGTTGGATTAATGAACGAGGAGGAGGAAAAATTGCACTTAACCATATCACATATATCGTGCATTATCTGTTTCTGGATGTATATGTTGCAGAGTTTAGTTTAATTAACCATTTCTAGTCAGACTTCCATATTGCATGAGTGCAGGTGGTGACCAGTATTGTTTGTTTGTTTGATTTTTTTGAGAAAGAACTGATTCCTCTTTACGTTTCAGGTGTTTTACCAATAGATGTATTCATTTGTAAATACGTATAAGAACTTTTTTTGTATATAATGAGTCTTCCGTGTGTAGGGTACTAAATAACAATAACATTCAAGTATTTAACGAAAAAAAAGGATAAAACATTTTCAAAAACTATTATCTTAAGGTTTCATTAATGGTTTAATAACACTTAAGTGGTAATTTTAGTGGTTGTTGTGGGGTCATAGGCCTGTATGTTAGAAAAGGCACACAAAGCTAATTTAAGGTAAGGATTATTTTTATCAACTCTTAGGACTGTGTGTAACAAGGTATCGATTGGCTGTTCGTTCAGTCGTTATGTACCTTTTTCCCCCAGAGTGCCAAAAAAAAAAAATAAATATGGTTACTTGGCACTCGTCTGTAGTAGTGCCAAGGGCCAGACCACGTGACCTCACTCGATACTT